GATTCTTCAATTTCGATTGTATCAGTTACTTCCTCCGATAATGGAAGATCTTCGGTTTCTGGCTTTTTGAATGGTTTAAGAATAATTTCTTCTATTTTTTCTTTTTCTAACGGTTTCTTTTCGGTCTTTGTTTTCTTAAGAGTTACTTTTTCTTCTGTCCAAGGAATAGAAGTTTTTATATTCTGTTGAATTTTGTTATCGTCAATTAGAATATCTTTATCTTTTACACATTTTGACAATTCCTCTTCAATATTATTTTCGTTTGAAATTGTATTATTTTCTTTTATTCCTTTCCATCTTTGTTTTCCATCCACAACTTTTTCATTTTGAATATTTTCTGGTTGTTGTTCGTTCTCAAGAATATCTTTGGTTTTTAGTTGCTGTAATGGTTTTAAACTGACTTCTTCCAATTTTTCTTTGGAGATTGGTTTTTTTTCGATTGTTGATTTTTTTAGAGAGACTTTTTCTTCGGTCCATGGTATTATTTTTTTCTTCTCTGTAAGTGTTCTTATATTTTCAAAAGGGGGCTCATTATATTCTTCAACTATATTATCACTTTCTTTTAATGAATCTTTTTTATATTTTGCCCATGGTCTTGAATGAGGCATTGTAACTTCACTTATTTTTTCATCCTCTATAGTTTTTTCAGATTGATCTTTCTTTAACCTTGGTTTATATTCATCTGGTACAATTTCATAATCTTGGTATTGTTGTTCTCCAAAATAGAATTTTGGTTGAGTTTTTTGATTATATTGAATTATTTCTTCTGATTTTTGATCTTGTTTATTTACTTTTGGTTTATCTTCCGAATGTAATTCATCCGTGTGGTGTTTTGTTTTTTTATCAAAATTTTGTTTAGTTTTGGAAATTAAATTTGTTGATGTCATAATTGAGTCGTCTTTAAGTTCTGGACTTTCTTGTGTTTGTTCTTTATTCATGGTTCTTACCAAGACTTTATTTAAAATGTGTTTGGCTATTGCTTTCTTATCCTCCTGGTTTGTGTATAATTTTGACAGTCCATCGGTCACTTCACTAATTATTTCTTTTTTTTCAATTTCATTCAACTTTATAGTATCTTTTTTTTTCATTTTTTTTGCCAAAACTTGGTTTATTATTTGTTTCGCTTTTTCTACGTCTCTTGAGTCGATATGATTTTGAATAAGAGTAAATATTTGTTCCGTCACATATGTGTATGTAAAAGTACCTTCTTGTTTTACAGTTATAAAATCTCCAACTTCTGTTGGTTGAATATATACGTTTTCTGTTATTAAGCTTTTTGCTTCTACTGAAGTTTTCCGAAGCCTTTCTACTACATTCCCTGTTCTCCATGGTAGCAAACTATGTTTAGTTTCAAAGCCTTTTTTATCAGTTTTAATATTTTTTAACGAAATTTGAGGCCCGATATCTTTTGTTTTCCCTACCCCATGTTCAAATGAGATACTATCCACAACACCTTTATCGTCAAATGCACCGGTCTTAATAGTAACCCCGCTTTGCCCTGTAAAAACATTATGGTTTGCACACATTTTAAACAATATAATGCATGACTGAATCGACAAAATAAAAATAGTCAATTCTTAAAATAGTTTTTATTCTGTAATTCAAACAATATTTGCCTCCCACAAATAATAATTTCTCATTTTAATCGCCTTACGTGATGTCATTTAGAACTTATAACTAAATTTAAAACTTAATCCATAATGTGTGGGCATGAATTCTTTATATTATCGAGGTCATTAACAGTATTGTTTTATTTTTTGTGTATTTATAAATACACATATATATACATATGCATTAGTAGTAACTACAATGCAGTGTATGTAATCATAATTTAAACGCTGACAAACTTTGAAATAAATATTTTTGTATTTTTTGTTTAAATATTTCTATCTATACAAATCGTATAAAACTATTAGTTAAAGTGCTTATTAAATTATTAAATCATATTTTATAATTAATAAATATTTTATTCATTTTCAAAATATTGATTAAGCATATTAATCATATAAGTCCTTTGTATAAAATCTATGTACTATTACAATAAAGCAAACAAATTTAATGTGTAGCTGGATTGTTAAAAAAATATATGGTTTTCCTAGATCACGACAGCCAAACATAAAATAATATTTTAAATATTTTTATAAATTATTTTCAACTTCAAATCTAATTATGTTGATTCAAAATGATTATTTTCGAGAAATTGAGAATTTTAATTAATGTTTTTATTATATTTTTTATAAGTAATATTTTGTATTATTACATGAATACACCTGTCATAACAATAATCATCATTCTTATTATTGATAGAAATTAAAAAGTCATTATACCATAAATAGAAATGCTACCTACTTAATATACGTTTCGTTTTAATTTTTATATAATATGTTATATTTATTTATATATTTTATGCGTAAAACGATGACAGTTACAAGTGATGCCCTTAAACATATTTGGCGTCCGAAACAATGACCGTTCATCGACGTAATAATTGCCATATGATTAATGTTTGGCATTTGTTATAGTATTGTTTTATTTTGTTTTACACTGTTTTATTTCATCTTGGTAGGAGTTCAATTTTAATAGCAACTTACTGAAGGTTTCATCGACGTAACGTGCAGTGGCCCCCCAAGTGTGATGAAAGAGTTATTATTGCTAATCGAGAAGGGGAGATGATGCAGATGCCAACGTGCTACAGTATAGTCGCGGGCTTCGTTCAAAAATGTTCATACGAGTACTCCAAGAAAACACGACTGATTCTTACCTACAATTGAACCTGTGAGTAATACATTATATAAATTTAAAAGATGCACAATATTTTACGAGTCTGAGAAATGAAAAAATATTGAAATTATTAAGATATTTTAACTTTATTTGCATACACAAAATAAATGTTCATTCCGAAAAAGAACAATGGTGGTTTTGAATTTAATTTAAAATATTAAATTAATTTAATAAAAATTAATAAAACTAACCTTACACGACTGCTACTAATATTTTACTTTAAAATATAACGTTTATTTATTCTTTTGTTATAATAGTAGTGCCCAATACATATTATAAATATTATTCAAACAAAACCCTGAACAAAAACAATATCATAACATAATAACATAATAAAACTTAATTTAATTATTCTATTAGAAAAATTAAAATTCAATATTTGCATTATGTAATGTAGAAAAAATGTTCAAAATTTATTTAACTTATTCGCGATTGATGTAAATTACTAAACCATCATACTGTTATGATCGTAAACACGGGAACAAATGAAAATTATCAAATAATAGTACTAAATGGGCGTGGAGATTGGTAAAATATTAATATAATTGAACGGTCAAAGAAAGTTTGAAATATTTTATACTTTGAAGTCAACTCTTAAGGCCAATGGTACCATAACATTATTAATTAGGTGTGAAACTGGACAAGTGAAAATTTCGAAATATCACTATTATTTGTAAGTGATAGACCAACACTATTATCGTTTATTGCTAAATAGTGGCATAGTCTATAATAATAATACTCGTCGTTACATATCTCATAATACTACCGCGAAAAAAAAAACTTATTGGAATTATCAAGACCATACAATTACACGACGAAAACATTCAATAAAACTAGACCTAGTTTTCGTATCGATTGAAAACAAACGATATAATATATATATATATATATATATACATACAAATAATGTTACATTCAAATACCTACAATACGTGAAAATAATAACTGTACGTATAATTATTAAGACCTGCTTTATTACAACTTAAAAAAATTAAAAAAAAAATCTATTAAATCTATAATAATTCTTTATGATATATATAATATATAATTTATAATATATTCTTTGTTCTATATAATTATCTTCATAATAATACTTAAAATATAATACTACTTAGAACACTGAGCGAAAAAAAAAATAAAATAAAGAGGAAAAACAATTTTTGGAATCGTGTACAGCGAATAACTCGAGCATCGTACTTATAAATAAAACCAAAACGATTAATAATAACGGTAGGTGTACACGAACAAGACGTTATGGGCCAGAAACAAGCGCGCGGCCGTTGAAATTAGGGTTAGTTCCCGCGCGGGGAGAATCGGAAAAATCCCGGTTCTCGTCTCGCCGTAGAGAGAGAGAAAAAAATAAGGACGAACTCCCTTCGAGTACAAATCGGTAGGCAGTGGCAATGACTAACGTGAATGATTCGCTGGCAGTAAGAAATCGCGTAACCGCATGCGTAACTCGCTCGATGTGACTAATTTTTATCATCAATACAATTATCATCACATGATGACCGAGAAATATTTTTTCCCCGATGCCGTGACCCGGTTGTCGCATGGTGACTGGTGAACGGATACCGCGGGCAACTAAAAATAATACCACGACGGGGAAGAAAGAGAGAGAGGAGAAGCCGTTGAATTATATTCTATTTTATGCCCATATACGACGAAAAATATACGTCTCGAACGTGTCGATGACCATATCGTACCCGGGTTTTCGCAAGACGTTTACGTTTTCCTCGAAAGGCGAAAGTCACGCGCGCAACAGTTATCGTATACTAAGACACCGTCAAGGACGCATCGTTGCGAAACCAAAACACCCGAGTAGCAATAGTAGTTATAGTAGTAAATAGTAGTTCATGTTCTAATTGACCGTTTTTTATTTTTTTTTTTTTTGTTTTCTATGTTCGCCGGTGAAGATATCCGCAGTACACGAGTACTTGATGAGCAGTGTGATATAATAGGAACTTCAGACGGCGCAGACGATCATCACCAGGACATCAATACAGCGGGCACACGCGCGATCAATGCGATCAATATTCTAATGTCTGATGTATTTATTTATTTTTTTTATTATAATTTTTTATCAAAAATAAAGTCGTAGATTTCGTTTGCGTATTGTTTGTTTTTCCAAATAACTGTGTACTGCACATACAAATATATAGTATTATTCCATCGTGCACGTGTTAGCGTTCCAACGCAGTCATTAGTACTGATGCAGTGGCGGTAGCAGTTTCGACGGCGACGGCGACCGAGTGTAACGGCGGCGACCAATTGTCTTCTGCTGATGTCATATGAGTTCGGTTGAACCTTGAGGCCTCGGTGGCGTATATATATTTTTTTTCATTTCATTTCAGGGTCATAAATAATTTTCTTTTTTTATTCTGCGCTTATCCAGCACATCTCATGGCACACCGTCGTTATGGTAATAAATTAAAATTACCAAAGAACTTATACGAACGTGTGCCAAGTAAAAATCAACAAAAATGTTGTGAGTTTTAATTATAAACGGCCATGCGAACCGCGATTACGGAAAAACGTGAGTTTAATTTTTTCCCCTCGAGATAAAAAATAAATAATACCGTCGTAAGTGTGTATGTCTGCGTTACTCACACACACACACACACCTGTGTGTTCGTTCGCGTTCACGTACACTTGCACTCAAACACACATGAACCGATTTCCATAAATAGTGACTCGGCCGAGGGTTGTGCGCACGGCAATTCTGAGCACCACCAGTAGGTTCAGAAATAGATCGCCCTAACAATAATACCGTATAATTTCTCTCTTACTAGTCTTACTCATTCTCTATCTTGGTCGGTCCCACTCCCACACAGTGTGTGTGTATGCGTCTGACTGCCCGTCTCTGCCTCTAACTGACTCCCCCCCACTCGCTCTCTCGCACTGCTTATTTTCCGACATGTGTGCACAGACGCTCTCCGTTTTTATACATTCTTCCATACAACGATTATTGCCGCACACATTTAGAACTCACTCATAGGAGTTATGTACCCCTCCCCTCCATAATCATTGAACAATATTGCTTTTCACTTATATACACACACGTGCCAACGGTTCAGAGAACTGAGGAGCGCAACAATGTCCTATATTTGATAAAGGGGAAAAAAACGAATATTACGTCAAGTTGCTGATTGACAAAAATTGCTTTTGAGATCTGAATAAATAACACCATTGCGGTGATTGGGCCATCAGTAACGGACTAATATTCTTCGATCGGTGAACCGATACTAAATGGACAAATTCCGTAGACGTATTAAATGACGTATGTCATAGAAAAATGTTCTGTATTTATTCTAGGATTGTTTTTCTGTGTGCGTCATAATGGTCGACGATCGTTTCATTTTATTTGCATTAAAAATACACTAATACTAGCCATTATACAAAACAAAAGTATGTAACATTGTAAGTCGGTCTCATTTCTAACCAAATGAACTGATTTCGTTTAAGCCGTCACGCCAACAATCTTTGTTTTTAGACAATTCGTAATACTTTAATTTAACGCAAAACTATTTGTACTCACAGACGAAATGGACATTAACCAAAAATTTCGTTTTTTAAAAATTAATATTTTAACTTGACACTGTATAATATAAATATACGAATAGATTTTCTGGTTGCAAATCTGTCATTTGTATTAAATATCAAGAGCCAACGTAAATATTTGTGACATATATATTCGATACCTTGGACATAAATAGATATTTCATGTAGAATAATTGAGATTTTAGTAGTTTTTACATTAATCAGCTTTGCAACCAAGTATTTGATATAATTAATAGTGGTCTATCAACGAATCTTACTAGCTAAATTACAGGATACAGAAGTAATTGGTTCAATAAACGTTTATTAAATATAATAATGTAATGTTTGTTAATACAATTATATAATCGCACCAGCTTAAATAATTTAATAAACATAATAATATGATTACACAAAACAAAATAAAAATCTGGTTAAAAATGAAAAATACATTTTGATAACAATAATTAAACGACTTTATGATTCATGTAAAATAAATAGAACAATGTTTCTTGCAGCAAACTAATACTATAAATTATAATTAATAAATAATGAGAAATAAATTGTATGGCACTTGATAAGTATTCGTGGGTTAAACATAACCTATAGAAAATTAAGCTAAAAATTCGTCGATTTCATTATTGGCATTGTTTTAATAATAAATAGCACTCAAATCTTAAAGATTTGTTTAAATAAATATTAATAAAAAAAAAAACAAGACCTAGAGTTTAATATATTTTTCCCTCGAGAAAAACGGTCCTTAAATTATTATTTGAAAGCACAGGTAGCATTTCCATTTATGACTTATATATTATATTTTAATTCTAATAACGACACAGTATATATTTTTATAATATATATACAAAAATATATATGTATTAATATTTATACATATATATGTGTATATATATATATATAAATAAATTATAAGAAATTTACTAAATATGTATACTGAACATAAATATGTTGGTTTTTAATAACTTAATTGTGATTATTTCTTACTTTTCACTGTAAGTTTGGCCGATGTTTCAACTTGTCCAGCGCTATTTGTTGCACAGCACGTGAAAATACCAGAATCTTCTTCGTAAGTCGATGTTATCAAGAGCACGGCCAAATTTCCTTCGTACAACATCTGCAATCACACATAATCCATGTGAATAAATACGCATATATAAATAAATAAAAGTTAAAATACGTATGTATAATTTAACATAAAGCGGTTAATCGACAAATCGACAATAAATTCAACCTCAGTTTTTAATGGCGTATACGTGCCGACGTTATAATAACAATGTTTTTTAATAATTTTTTTTTATTTTACAACAATAATTAGTCGTTATTATATGACTTTATAAACTTTAAGTGAATAAAATAATTGAGGTGTTGTGTAATAGTATTCATTAAACAGGGACGTATATATTTGAGGGAGCTGAGTGGGCTACAGCCCCCCAAAATTTTAAAAAAATCTAAAAAATATTTTCATGGTCTATAAAAGTCGCTATAAATATATAAATAAAAATCTTAAATTTCATTTTATTGATTTTAAATTCGCGTTTTTATTTTTTTAGCTTATCTTACAGCTTATAGAAAAAATTTATTACGGGTGGTAATACTGGGAATCATAATATGATTATATATGTTACCGGTAATATTGATAATTTAGGTATTTTGCAAAATGCCTAGGCATTATGCAAATTGCCGACCCATTTTAGGCAATGTAAATAAAACATGATTTTCAATATTATTTTACATATAACCTAGGTATTTTACAAAATACCTAGGCATTATGCAAAATGCCAATTTTTTTTTAGGCAAAGTACAAAACATTTTATTCTTTGTGATATTTCATTAAGATTCTTATAATTATTATACATTATCACTCATATCACAAAAACAATTTAATTTTTATCTATTATTATATTATTACTATTATATAAATATTTTACTTAAACTACTATTTACTTATTATAACATGTTGTTGAAAAGTTATATTTTAAAGTGCACAAAATGTTATTTTTACAGCAAATACATTTTTTATTTTGACACTTGGACTTACGAACACATTTTAAAAATCCTTGGCCAATTCTTATGAATTGAATTTTTATCAAATCATTATTCTGTTTATCAGATAAAAAACTATTATTGGTGGCCAATTTTTTTTAAAAAATTTTGTAGTTTGTTACAAACATTTGATTTCATATGAATCGTATGCAAGGCCATCCCAAAGATAAAAATCAAGGGGGGGTGAATAATATGAATAATGCCGACTACAATTTTTTTACTCAATGTGTGTAGTATAATTAATTGTATGTATTCGTATTTTTACTTTTAACATGTATATATGTGTCAGTGTCGCACGTTTTTAAAATTGACAATTTAATTTTATATATATTTTATATTATATAATAAGTAGTTATATAAATTTTGTTCGTGTATTCAATGTATTACAAAATACATATTATTTGTTTTCCGTAAGTAAAATTAGGTCCTTCTAAGCTATAATGAAACAAGTCAGACTGTCGCTTAATGTTTTTATTGGGGGGGAGATACTCCCCCCAAGACCCCCTTCGGGACGAGCCTGATCATATGCATAGCTGCAACACCAAAATGAGACACGAAAATAATGACAAAAATTACGATACCTATTGTAATAAAATTATTAGAACGTTCAATATTGAACCTCAGATTAATTGTTATAGTAGTAAAAGAATCTTAATCACTTTTGCGATAAATCGCGCACTCACATTTATAATAAACAGTAAGTAAAGCCGTTGGTAATAGGCGATGTTCAATTTTGTTTATTTTCATCATATTGTCTACTCCACGTTTGGCATTATACATAATACCTAGGCAAAGCTCGTATTTTGTATATTGTTAACTGATTTTTGGCGTTTTATATAATGCCTAGGCATTTTGCAAAATACTGAACTATCCATATTGCCAGTAACATATATATATATTATATACTATTTATAAACCTATCGATAACAATCGACAATTTTATATAACTGCAGTTCAACGCACAATATGACACAATTTATGGATTTCTAAATGGACCTCAATAGTACCATCAACAAGACTTTCGATAAGTAAATTTACTTACAAAGACGCTTTAATTTTTTGTGATAAAACATTGTACCCTAATCTCTACCAACTGCTGAAAATACTTGCCATACTTCCTGTGTCAACTACATTCACTGAACGCATTTTTTCAACGCTGTTAAGATTAAAAACATATCTGAGAGACTCAAATTCAGAGAATTGTCGAGTTGGTTTAGCACTATTAAATATTCATAGAAATATTTTTATAACTAATGATATGGTTTTAGACAAGTTTGCTAATAGTGGACGACCCAAACGTTTAAAACTCATTATTTAGCACTTAATAGCAAATACATTGTATAGATAGTAATAAATTTAAATCATTACATTTTATTTTTTTGTTTAACTATATGACTTTTTATAACTTTTTATCAGCCCCTCCTGAAATACAATTCTGGATACGCGCCTGTCATAGAAATATCATATATTTTTCAAAATCAAGAAATTATCAAGCTAAATATTTTCTTTGTTTATTTAAATTTGTTTTTAACTTACAATATTAATATTAAATTATCGTTTTAAAGTTTGAATGGAGTAAAAAGCTACTACACATTATATAAAAAAATGGTTTTATCCTAAGAGAACACTTTTTGAAACACTAAGGAAATATATTACAATTCCAAATAATGTTTAGTGAATTTCCAGCTCTAAAATATCAATATTTATCTGTATACCATACAAAAATATGTATATATATATAATATTTAGAAAATTATTTAAGAGGTCTTGAATAAAATAAAATATTTGTACTTTTATTTCTAAAACATCTTATACATTTTAAAAACCACTTTTGTTCTTGTAGTTGTATTATTATTTATTTAGCGGAAAATTAGTTTATTTAAAAAAAAACATTTTACCGCATAAGCATCAATTTTATTAGAAAATATAGAATTACATTTTTGTTGAGTTATTTATTAAAAATGAAAAGTAATAAGTGACTTTTAAGAAATTGCCTGAATGTAAAAATGTAATCTAATAATATATTATATTATATTTTTATACGCAGCCGTAATATCTTTTTTCATTTTAAAACTTTTATTCAATAAATAAAAAATTGCAGAAAATGTAAATTTATTAAATAATATTAAAAAGTATAAGTTTTTTGTATAAGTATAAGACTTTGAGAAATATTGCTATGACCTAAGTATAATTCTTCAAATTTGCGTAATCACAAAGTTTCTTTTCTATAACTACAATAATATTTCGTTAATTTAGATTTACAGAATATTAATAAAAAAATAAAAAAACGGCATTTTTTTTATAAAAAGAAATGTAGGAATACATTCTGTATTATTTATGTTAACAAAAATCATCAAATTTAAAATTGCTTCACATAAACGCGACTTATTTACTTGTATTAACACGTAAACATTTTTTTAATAAAATGTTGGTGTTAAATGAAGTTCGATCATCATTTTTACATTACGAGTGCATGTATTGTTTGTCTGAAATCATTCTAACAGAAAACCTCAGACTAATACGATAATCAAATTTATATTATTATTTTTTCGACACTAAGTTTCTGCAAAATACTGTAGAAGCGTTTTCAAAATGGTATACGTACTATTTACAAAAAATATTTAAAACCTACCTTAAAGTCTGGTGTTTGGGGTATAAGTATTCCTTCTCTGAACCATTGTACGGTTGGTGATGGTTGACCCGATACTTGTGTACGGAACTGAGCTGAATTTCCTTCGATGACAACTACGTCGCTCATCTGGCTCAGTGTGGGTGCTACATCTTGATTTTCAGGAACTGAAACACAATTACGTGTGCGATTAGTTCAATCGACGAAAATAACCCACTCAAACTTCAGCGTAATGTTTCGTGATTTACCAATGACTTTCAAATTAGCCGACAACACCGCCTGGCCACCGGCGTTCGATACAAGGCATTTATACGTGCCTTCATCTTCTGGGAACACCTCAGATATATGCAGTGAAACGGTTTCTCCATCTTGCGCCATACGGAAATATTTCGACGGTTTAATCACTTTGTCGCCCTTTTGCCACTTAACGGTTATTGCTGGAAAAATAACGATGAGAAATACATTAAAAGGGTTAAAAATGTTGTAGAAATTATTTCCGGCCCCACAACCATCGTTCGCAACTTACGTGGTTTGCCAGATATCTTGCAACTGAACGTCACCGGCTGTCCCTCGTGGATCACCTGCCCGGACAACGGTTGAGTGATTGTCGGTGCCTGTTCGTTACCACTGGGCTTCGATTTAGGCTTATCCTTTTGTTCCAAGGGTTGTACCACTAATGAAGCTTCACACCTCGCTTCCCCGGAATTGTTGATGGCCACGCACTCGTATGTGCCGCTGTCTTCGGTGACTGTTTCGATGATCAAGAGCGTGTATTGATTGTCTTCGTCTACGGTTTTGTAACGAATGTCCTGTGTGATTTTCTTTCCGTTCTGCATAATCAAATCGTAACTCATTTTAAAAATAACGTTTGTGTAATATTTATTGTATTATTTTAAATTTACCTTTAGCCAGTACACGTCTAGTGGTTTGTTGGCACTGATCTTCACGTCGAATCTAGCCAGTTGACCGGCCTTCACAACCGATCCCTGCATCGTGGAGAGAAAACTTGGTGGGCCTGGTCCTTTCCTGCCGGCCAATTTGCGTTCTTCGACAAGTAGATTAGCACTGCACTTCGCCTTACCGCCTCGGTTCTCTGCGATTGCGGCGAATACACCGGAGTCTTCCATGAAAACCTAATGTCAAACGTATAAACAATACATAAATAACTTTGTTTTTACCTCACTTCAATAATGCTAAGATTATTACTTGTCTAATGACTAGAATCGACTTTGTGCTAAACGTGTGTATTTGGAAATCTGGCGAGTTTTGAATCAAAAAATCTTCTCTATACCACTTTATTGTCGGTATCGGTTCACCGTCAAACTCGACCTCGAAACGAGCTTGATCTTGTTCGAATGCTCGGCATGGTTGCATTTTTTTCGTAAATATTGGCGGCTTTGATGGTTCCTAGAAATTAAAATTAATAATACGAGTAAAAATACACGAATGCGTAAGAAAATTTAAATAACAATTGCAACAGTGCACTTACGACTTTTCCTTGGATCATTCTTTCTTGATTCTTTTGCATATGTTCCATTTCAGTCGTTTCGGTGGCAGTTATTTTTCTATGTATTTCTTTATTGCCTTGTACCTGAATAAAAATAATATAAAAAGAATATCAGAGAGCACTTAATTACTGACGTAAATTTTAAATTTCTAATACTCACTTCTTTTTGAGTTTGTTGTTGTTTTGCAACGTGAACTTCTTTTCCGTGTACCGAAGACTCCGAGGGATCTGGTATCGATTGATTTTGGTCAACTCGAGATTTTAATAGTTTTGTTGTTTGCCAAGGCATTAATTCTTCTTGTTTATTTTTAGCTCTACAAATTAAGTTTAACAATATATTATGTTACAAATTTTCTTTTACACTACTATATATGTTAACATATACAGTGATGTTAATTATATTATGTAATATTTAAATATGCTCTTCAAAAAAGAGGTAGATCAAAATAGAGACGGTTGGATAGGATTGAGAATGATTTGAGGGCTGTTAGTGTGTGTATGTGTGTGTAGAAGATGTAGAAAATCGAGACGAATAGAGATTTATATATAGAGAAACGAAGGTGGCCGATGCAAAATAGTTAGGTAAAAGGCAGAGGCGAAGATTTTTTTTTAACATTTTATGTCAATTTGTAGGCATGAACTATGACTAAATATTAATGTATAAACTTACAATGTATCTTCGTAATTTGAAGCCATAGTTTTCGATGTACTTTTTAATTTTTCACCAGCTAATGATATTTGATGAGAAGCTTCTCGGTTTCTTGCTTCTTTTATCACTTGATTGCCTTCCAACTATATTAATCAAAAAAGTTTAAAAATTAGTTGTTAAATTAATTTATAAAAATTATATTTGAATATCATAAATTTAATATATAAAGAATAATAAAATATAACTCCTAAATGAATATATTTAATTTATTATTTTTACTAAATAATATGAGGTTCCTTACTTTACTCAATTTACTGTAATAATCTTCATTTTTCTTTTGTCGAACAGTTTCGGTCCATTCTGGTTTTTCTTTAGTTACTTGTTTTTGTTTCATATGTTCACCGACTGCTGATATAACCATACCACTATAATCAGGTTGCTGGGTAGTTGTCGCTCTTTCCGTGAACACCTTTTCAAGTTCATTCTCTTGAAGATCCCTTTGATATTGTACCAAATCACTGTCGTACCACGCTAAACATGATTTTAAATTAATATGTATTAATGATAAGTAAAATGATAAAATGGGATAAAAATGCATGCATTAATTTAAATAATTATCCAATAAATAAATTTTACTTGATATTTAAATTAATTAATCTAAAAATAAACTATGAAATAATATCACAAATTATTTTAACCTTGTTAAGTACACAATTTTTTAATTAATTAATTAATTAATTCCTTCATACAATCATTTTTTTTCTTTTTAAACACATTTAATTATTATTAAAGATCATTAATTCATAGAGTTAGTGTAATGCGTGTAAGTATTGGAAGGTGTAATAAATGAAAAAGACAACACAATACCTGATTGAATACTCCAAAAATTGTAGTATTGCAGACGGTTAGTAGAAGCTACGAAGAATTCTTCTTGGCAAGCTAATTTACCATGTTATCAAAGCCATATAAAATAGCAGGTAAAAGACAATTTTAAAGGAAAAAGAGTATTATTGTGTTCTGTATTGTGAATGCATGTAGAGATATGTTTGTTTAATATTAGAACTACATACTTGAAATCACTAAATTATAATAGCATTATTATTCTTCAAGACTTGCACAGTGCATATTTAGCCTATTTGTGGCCTGTTATGCCATACGAACTTAATACTGAATTAAAGCATTTTTCATTGCAATTTTATAAAATAATTGGTATATATATATATACATATATAGGTACTTACGTCTCGGCGAGTTCTTTAAAACTCCTCTATAATCGTCATGCCTTGAATTCACTATCAGCATTGTTTCCACGCGAGATTCTCCACACACATTTCTAGCGATAACTTCTACTTTGCCGTGATCATACTGCCTCGTTTTCGGTATATCAAGATGCCACATTCCGTCGTAATTCAATTTGTACCTCATTCCCTACAATAACAAACCAATTATTAAACAACATATCAATCATATTTTATTTTAAATACTTACGTTGACTACAGTGTTTCCATTGACCAACCACATTACCCTGGGTCTCGGGAAACCGGTGACTCTACAACAGAACCTAGCCCATTCTCCTTCACACACAGTGACAGGTTCCGGTTTGCTTACAAACTGAGGTGGTTCTCTGCGCGCTTCTTCTTCTTCTTTCATTTCAGGTGTTCTAAAAATGTAAATGGAATAGTTAAAACCATCTCGTATCTAAATTCTAAATGTGTGTACTTACACTTGCCACGATGCTTCCATTTCTCTTATTTTTTCAATACTCTTCATTCCCTTAGGAAGTTGAGAGTCATAAATGATACCCGGTTTACCAGATGTTTTGATAGTCGCTCTTGTTTCGTCTTGACCATACAAGTTGGTAGCTCTACAAACATAAACGCCGCTATCTTCTGGATAAATCCAACCGAAATTCATGGCGACATATCCAAAGTCATAAATGGGATTGAATCGATTCTCTATAGAATTAATATATGGCACCATTGTTGTATAAATAATTTTTTCATTAAAAAGATAATATTATTGAAACATACTATGTCTTAAAGGTTTGCCATTTAAGAACCATTCGACTTTCATATTTGGATCACCAACAGGAGCTAATTGACACTCGAATTTGGTGGATTCCATTTCAACCAATGTTAATTGATCTTGAATTTGAGTAACAAATCTAAATGAAAAATGAAATTTAAGAAACTGTAATATAGAAATATATAATACAATTTACCTTGGTGGTTGATTCTTTTCGGGTTCATACAAGTCATCTTCGGTTAAATGAATCTCAGATGTATATTTTTTAATAGCTGCTTCCATTTGAGTTAATGCTTCTGACTTCTTCATACCTTTCGGTACTTGGTTTTGGAGTAAAATTGTTGGAAGTTCTGAGAAATGAAATATTTATAGATTAAATAATGTACCAAGGATAAATAAATATCTACGTACGTTTACAGGTAACCATAGCTTTAGTAATCGCTTCACCATGATTATTAACAGCCCTACAGATGTATTCACCCGAGTCTTCGGCGTACATTGACAATATGTCTAAGGATACGAAACCCAAATCGAATAAAGCCTTGTATCTATGTCCCGAAGGTAATAATTTTCCATTTCTATACCACTCGACTCTTAGTTTCGGATCATTTTTAGGCTCAACTCTAGTTTCAAAGTGTACTGAACTAGCTTCTTCCACTGTTGCTGATTCAATCTACAAATCAAAATAAAATCAATCACCAATTACTTTATAACGAAACTATAATTAAAATTCATATTAATCAATATTAAATAATTTAACATTTTCTCAATTAAAAAATACTTACGAATGTATGATCATTACCTGAGACAAAAATCGGGGAGGTATTGCTTCAATTTCGTCTTTAATTTCTTTTTCTTGAATTGGTCCTTGTTCTAACGCTTTTAATTTTTCTCCACTCATCCCTTCCGGCAGCTGTGATTCCAAAATAACGTTTTGTTTGGCAGTGCATGTCAATTTTGCTTTTGTAAAGGCTGTGCCCCATTTGTTCGTTGCTCTGCATATATATTCTCCAGAATCTCGAGAGTAAACGTAATCCATATCCAAAGAGATAAATCCAAAGTCGTTTATCACATGTACACGTGAACCAGTAGCGAATGGTTTACCATTGAAAAACCAATCGATTCGTAATGTTGGATCATTGACAGGTTCCACTCTACATTCAAAATGAACTGATTTGGCTTCTTGAACATCCAATGCATCCTAAAAATTAAATATTATTATTTTACACTCCTGATAATATATAATTAGATTCAAAATATTTACTTTTAATTCAACAGTGAATTTAGGAGGATTTGGTTTTTCATCATCGGGTAATATTTCTTCCTTTTTGTACATATTCTCTTCGAGCTTTTGAATACTTTCTGTACCTGTTCTGAATTTGTTGGGTAACTGAGGTTCTAAAACTATACCTTGTCGGCCCTTCACTTGTAATTTACAAGTAACTGTTGCTTCTCCGTGTTTATTAGTAGCCTGAAGAAAATTTATTATTTTATATGAATACAACATTGTAATATAAACAATATTTTATTAATATTGAAATTTTGAGTATTTAATTTAATAATAAATTACTTATATTATATTATAATTATGTTTTATTATATTTTTTATATTAAACATTTAAAATTTGGTGCATTTATTCTTATTTTTATTACATAAATATATATTAAATTAATATCGTAACAGGTTTTATTAATATTAAAAATAAAATATTCAAGTATACGTATCAACTTTGAAATGTTAAAATGTTAAAATAAGTTAAACAAATTTTTACCTTGCAAGTGTATAGACCGGAATCTCTAATATAAACCCCAGCAACTTCAAGAATAACAAATCCAAAATCATTGATAGTTTTTATGCGTGATCCGGCCGATAATACTTTGCCATTGTGGAACCAAGTTACTACCATGCTCGCATCATTCGATGGTATAAGTCTGCATTCAAAATGAGCCAATGAATTTTCTGACAAACTAAGATCTGCTGGAGTCGTAATAAACTCTGGTGCTTTTCCCAATTCGTCTTCAGTTTCAATAGTTGCCCTTGATTGACCGAGACCTTCAAGTTCTGCAATTTTGTCAATCGTACTTTCCATGCCTTTCGGGAGCTGAGATTCTATAATTATGCTTCTCTTTCCTTGGACTTTCATACTGGCCGTAGTTACAGCTTCACCATAATGGTTGGATGCTCGGCACGAATATTCGCCAGAATCTTCCGGATAAACAGGGGATATTTCCAATATAACAAATCCGAACTCACAAAAAGTTCGGAACCTAGAACCAGCTTTTAACGGTTTTCCGTTCCAAAACCATTCCACCTGATAAATAAAATTATTGTTGAATACGTTTCTGAATTAGTTAATGATATTATATTATTTACCTTTAAGTTGGGATCATCAATAGGTGTCAAGCGGCCTTCAAAATGAGCACTTTCACCTTCTCGTAGACTGTCAATGTTCGATAAAGGTTCTGTGAATATTGGAGCTTGGCGATTTTCCACGGATACTTTTTCATCTCGAACTCTCATCGTTAAATCTTCAAGAGTTTGTATTTTTTCTAATCCTCCTTCCATTCCTCGGGGAAGTTGAGAATCTAAAATCAAATTGGTTTTGGAAGTACAACGAAGAGTTGCTTTCGTGGTATCAGTTCCAGCTTTATTAAACGCTCTGCATTCGTAAACACCCGAATTTTCCTCATAACAATATAGAATATCCAATATTACTATGCCAAAATCGTGGAAAGTTCTAAAACGATGACCGTGCTGTAGTTTTTGACCGTTGAAATACCATTCAACCTAAAAATAAAATTTAAATATTAGTAAAAACAAGTTAGTTATATTTAAAAAGGTCAAACTTACAACAAGATTTGGATCGTTCACCGGTGTTACGTGAGCTTCAAAGTGAGCACTTTGGCCTTCTTTCAAATTTGTTATGTCCATCAGTTGACTAGTAAATTTGGGAGCTTCTAACACTGGACTTGAAAGAACTCCAACGTTTTGTCCTGTAGCGTTTTCTAATTCACGGATTCTAGCCAAAGAAGTAGGCTGTAACGAATCTAAATAAACTCCTCCTTTTCCCGAATATTGAATAGAAGCCTTAGTTATATCCTCACCATACCTAAAAAATATGAATTAATTATATTATTAATCTCTTATGTGAACATTTTTAAATTTTGTTGCTAACGTACTTGTTGCTTGCTTTACACACGTATTCTCCAGAATCATGATTTTGTATATAAGCTATATCCATAACGACAAAGCCAAAATCGCTTATCATTTTAACGCGATTCTTATGTAGTAATGGTTTACCATTATGGAACCATTCTACCTTTAGATCGGGATCGTTTACTGGTATTAATGTACATTCGAAATGCGCAGAGTCTCCGTCTTTTAGGCCAACGAGGCTCTGAATTTGAGAAGTGAACTTTGGTTTTTGACCACTTATTCTTTCTATACATTCTAGGGTGACACTGGATTCCGCAGACCCATAATCGTTAGTTGCTTTACACGTGTAAGTTCCAGTATCAGATATTTTAGTACCAAGGATTTCGAGCACCACCATTCCAAAAGCATAGATTGTACGGATCCGGTGACCTAAATAATTTCCAATTAAATTACACAATTCACAATGACTAAATTTTTTGCTTAAATTAATTAACTTACTAGCTTCAATGACTTTTCCATTGTAGAACCACTCTACAATCATTTTCTGATCACCAACAGGAGTTAAAGAAGCTTCATAATGAGCAATCTCGCCTTCGCTTAAGAATCCAAGGTCTTTGAACTAATACAAGAAAAGAAAAAGACGATATAGAATTGGAATTATAATAATTGTGTTTTAAGTTACTTGTGATGTAAAAACGGGCGCATGTCCAGTCTCCTGATCGGTTACCCCTTGTTTTTGTTTTTGTAAAGATTCTTCTAAGCTTTGAATTTTTTCCAAGCCTTCTTCCCCCTTAGGATGTTGAGTATGTTCGACTAAACTTTTGTTGCTGCTGCAATACACCGTTGTCGATGTATAGGTTTCTCCAGAATGGTTATAGGCCTTACAAGTGTATACTCCTTGATCTCTTTCATACACATCAGATAAATCCAATGTAATATAACCAAAATCATTATTTGTTTTGAAGCGAGAACCTATGAAATTAAATGAAAATACTAATATTAATAAACTAACCTTGAGATATAGGTAGTAGAAATATTATAATAGGAATATTACCTAAATCAAGCACTTTTCCGTTGAAGTACCAATCAATTTTTAAATTAGGGTCGTTCTTAGGTTCAACCTGTGCCTCCAAGTGCAATGGTTTACTTTCAGCTAGTATAAACTCTGGTTCCAAAGGAACAACAAAGATTGGTTTTGGGAAAGAAGCTTCAGGCAAAGACGTCTGACGTTGATACTTAGAAGCGAGATTATCTTCAACTTTTTGTACTTGTTCTAATCCAGTTTTGCCTTGTGGATGTTGTGTGTCTAAATGTATGCCTTGGAGTCCTTAAAAATTCAGATTCATAAAATGCACAAATAAAAATATATTTTTCAATTCATATAAAGTCTAAAATGCAAGCTAATCGATATTATTACCTGTACATTTTAGCGTTCCAGTTGTTACCGCCTGTCCTTTGCTATTGCTGGCTCTACATGTATATATTCCAGAATCTTCTGAATATGCGTGATGTAAATCTAGTGTGACAAATCCAAAATCATATGCGGACTTGAATCTCGAAGCGCTATGAAGTGGTTTTCCATTTACAAACCAATCTATTAAACAAAAATAATATTAAGTATTGAATATCTATTGTTATACAATGTAATTCAAGTACCAATTTTCAACGTTGGATCTTTCGAAGGTTCTACTTGACATTCAAAATGAACGTCACTTCCTTCTTTACACTCCCAATTATTAAGATGGGATATAAATACGGGACTTTCAAAAATAGGTTCTGGGCCTTCTACTTGTCCGGCATGTGGTTTTTCTAAGTCTTCAATTTTGGAAAGGGATTCAGGATGTAAAGTATTGCTTAATAACCAATGGCTATCCGATATTTTGAGCGTACAAGTTGAAACAGCTTCACCCAAAAGATTCGTAGCTTTACAAGTATAAATGGCTGAATCATCAGGTCTCAAACTGTTTATTGCAAGTGTTACCAAACCAAAATCAAATGTACTACGAATTCTCGAACCTAAAATATTAAATTAGTACAAATATCAATAAACATATTAAATAATAGCTTTAGTAAAATATTGTAATTTAAAATTGTACAAAATTTAACAATAAATATTATTAATAGTATAGTCATTATAGATATTTACCAGTGGTTAACGAGATTCCATTTTTGAACCATTCTATTCGAAGATTTGGATCTGCTCTGGGTTCTACTTGAGCTTCCAAATGGACATGCTGACCTTCAGATAAATTATCTTGATTTTGTAAATGAGAAGTAAAAACTGGTGCTTGTTGTGGTCTTGTGTCGATGAACATTTCAGGAACTCTATTCATCTCGGCTTCTTTGAGCTGAATTTTTTCCCAAGCGTCAGGTTGTAATGGTTCGTGAACAATTGATGAACGGTCTAAAATGGAAATTAAATATTATTAAATGATAAAAATTTGTTGAAATGTTGGTATAATTATATACGCTTTATTTTCATTGAAGTAGAAGAAACAGCTTCTCCAGCTCTATTAATTGCTTTGCATGTATAAACACCAGAATCTTCTGCGACAGTAGAGCTGATATCCAAAGTTACAAAACCGAAATCATTGGTTACGTGGAACCTTGAGCCTATTTTAATTAATCACAAGAAAATTTCATAATTATTAATAAAACATAATCAATTTATTATTTTAGTATATACCTATATTATTAACGAAAATAATTTAAAGAGTTGATTGACTTACCCATTTTCAATTCAACTCCGTTAACATACCACTCAAAACGCAATGTTGGGTCACCTACTGGTACAACTCTACATTCAAAATGAGCATGTTGACCTTCAATTAGTTCTGAAGGGCCTGTGAGAAGTTGTGTGAAAATTGGCTTCTCAAATAATCTTTCTACTTCTTCTCTCTTTAACGGTTCATGACCACGTTCTAATTCGACTATTTTTTTGAGACCTTCTGGATGTTGACTCTCTAACTGAATATCAGATTTTGCTAATAATATAAATCAAAAAACAATTTTAGTGAAAAATAATTTATAATCAATCATATCTTATGGGAACTTACTTCTAACTTTCATAGAAGCTGTTGTTACCGCTTCTCCGAGAACGTTTGTAGCTTTGCAACTGTACACACCATTATCTTCATCTCTAACATGAGAAATATCTAGAGAAATATATCCAAAATCGTATGTTTTTGTGATCCTCGAACCTAAAATGAATGAATTAATTAATTATTTGTTAAAAATGTTTACTTATCAAATTTATTAAGTTATACTTGTTTCTAGTGGTTTTTCATTTCTAAACCATTCAACTGTCATCGACGAATCACCAATAGGTATGAGACGGCATTCAAAATGAGCTGTTTGGCCCTCATTAATACTATCCACATTTTGTAATGGTTGCGTGAACATTGGTCTTTGTTTTGATATGGGTTCTGCATAGTCTGCACGTTTGAAAGGTACAGCCATTTCTAGTTCTTTTATTTTTTCTAACCCTTCGGGTCTTTGAGAATCAAGAATGATACTTCCAGCTCCTTAAACAAATAATATATAATATTTAACTCGTGTATACAAATTTCTAACGAGATTAATTACCTTGAACCATTAAATTAATACTCGAAGTAGCTTGACCCAAGTCGTTAGTAGCTTTAACAGTATATTTTCCAGCGTCTTCGGGAACAACATGGCCAATGTCTAAGGATATATAACCAAAATCATATGTTGTATGGAAACGAGAAGCAGATCCAAGTGGTTTGTCGTTGTGGAAGAACTCAACTTTCAATTTAGAATCGTGCACGGGTTTTACTTGGCACTCAAAGTGGGCTGTTTTTCCTTCAGCTACCTCAGTAGTGCCCTATTGAATAGCAGTACATTTTATTTTAGTGTTTTTAATAAATATTAGTTAATAAAAGTTTACCCAAAGTTCCGTCAATGTTGGAGCTGTTGGTGTAGGCTCGTCAATTTCAAGTTTCGCCGGACGGCCTTGCGATTCAAGTACTCTAATTTTCTCCAAACCATCAGGATGTTGAGTTTCCAAATAGATACTTCTACGAGCTAATAAAATAATACAATGACGATAAAATACTGTACACAATATGATGATTATAAAATCGTTATCAGATAATGTAGCTTACATGCAACGTTAATTTGACAAGTATTTACTGCTTCTCCCTTTTTGTTAGTTGCTTTGCACATGTATGTGCCGGAATCTTCAGCGTAAGCGTATAGAATATCCAGAGCAACGTATCCAAAATCATGTGTAGTCTTAAAACGATGACCCGTTTTAATTGCTACTCCGTTGACGAACCATTCAATTTTCAAATCTGCGTCATTTATTGGCTCAATTCGGGTTTCTAAATGAGCGTGCTCTCCTTCTTTCACTGACTCAAGACTAAATAAAACATTATTGCTTTAATGTGATATATATCAAACAATACTGTTTATAATATTATCGTTTAGCTTTTACCTATTAAGTGGTGTAAGGAAAACTGGTTTTTGAATTTCAGCCTCAGCTTCTCTAGCCATAGGTCTTTCATACGCTTCAAGTTCTTTAATCTTTTTCAATCTATCTTCGTCCAATGTGTCCAATTGTAGACCGGATTTTGCTGTATGTGTAAAAGTAAGTAATTAGTATTTCTCTAATAGTATTTATTATAAAAATAATAAACTCACAATCAACTGTTACTATGCATGTTGTGACTGCTTCTCCGGCTGCATTTTTAGCTTTGCACATGTATGTACCTGAATCTTCAGGATAAGCATAAAGCACATCCAAAGCGACGAATCCAAAGTCGTACGTGGTCTTAAACCTGTGACCCTGAGGAATTGGTACTCCATTTCTATACCATTCTACTTTCATCGTCGGATCGTTTACTGGGATTAATGTAGCTTCAAGATGGACACTGCGACCCTCTGGTAGGTGTTCTACATTTTTTAAAGGTCGTCCGAATTGGGGTTTCTCTGTCACGAGAATATCTTCAGCTTGTGCTCGCTTAAACCTAGAGTCGTCTTCTAAGTACTGTATTTTATTCAATGCTCCTTGATGTTGAGTTTCACTAATAATCGATGCTCGTGATTGAACTCCTAACTTAACGGAAGACTCAGCTCTACCAAGTTTATTAATTGCTCTACAAGTGTACTCTCCAGAATCTTCTGGCAAAGCAGATAATACGTCGAGCGATGCGAAACCAAAATCGTAAGTTGTTCTAAATCTATGTCCTGTCTGTAATGGTTTACCATTGTGTAACCATTCTAATTTTAACGTGTGGTCAGGATAAGGCTCTATACGACATTCATAATGGGCACTTTGACCTTCAATTAGATTTTCAGTTCCATTTAATGGAACAATAAACTTTGGTGCTTCAGTGACTTCCACTTCTTTTTCTTCTACTCTTTTGTATCTACTAGAATCTTCAAGCTGTCTTAACTTTTCTAATGCAGCTTCATGTTGACTTTCCAATTGCAAAGAAGCTTTAGCTAAAAATTATATTTTTATTTATTTTTTTATATATTTTTAGTCTTATATATAATTTACAAAAAAAAAACTCTTACATTGCACGTTAAGTGTAGCTGATGTAACTGCTTGTCCTAATTCATTAATTGCTCTGCATGTGTAAGTACCGGAATCCTCAGGATAGACATATTTAAGATTCAGAGCAACGTAACCAAAGTCATGCATTGTTGACACACGGTTAGCTAAAAATAATTATAATCAAATTATAAAATGTTCGAGTTATAAGTATTTCGAGCAAACATTCATTTTAACGAATAAATTATAACAATACACTTACATGCTTGAATAGGAATTCCATTCCGTAACCATTCCACTTTTAATTTATCATCACCAACTGGAATCAATCGAGCTTCAAAGTGAGCTGCTTGACTTTCAATCGTTGTAATATCTCTCATTGGTTGTGTAAAAACTGGAGCTTGAGTCACAGTATCCTCAATAATTGACTGACGTTGATAACGGTTTGTGTTTTCAAGCTGAGCTAACCGGCCTAATGCGTCTTCATGTTGAGATTCCAAATAAATTGATTTTCTCGCTATTATCAACAAATATTTAATTAATATATTGAAAATAAAAATATGAATTTATGCTTAAATTTTAAATAATTACGTTTGAAACTTACAGTGAACGTTTAGATTTCCAGATGTAATAGATTGTCCTAACCAATTAGTAGCCCGACAAGTGTATGTACCAGAATCTTCAGGCAAACATTGAAGAATGTCTAATGCAACGAATCCGAAGTTATTGGTTTCAGTGAATCGAGATCCAAATTTAATTGGAACATTATTATGGAACCATTCGACTTTCATTGTATTATCCGATACGGGTATTAATCTACATTCAAAATGAGCGCGTTGTCCTTCTTTGATATCGCAATGTTTCAATGAAGTAGTGAAAATCGGGGCCTGCGTGGTAGTTTCCTCCACGTCTTCTCTTCGGTTGTATCTTGTTTTTTCTTCAAGATACTGAATTTGTTCAAGACCCATTTCATTTTGAGTTTCTGTTATGATAGCCGACGAACCTATGAAAATAATATAAAACATAATTATATATAATTAGATATCAATACAATACAATCATTTTTGTTTATGCTTTAAAATATTATAACAAAATTAAATACTTCTGCAAGTAAGGTGGCAATTAGTTTCGTCAACACCGAGTAAGTTAACAGCACGGCACGTATAAGTTCCAGTGTCTTCTTCGATGACGTCTATGATGTCTAAAGCTACATATCCAAAATCGTGGATAGGCCTAAAGCGATGACCTATGGTAAAATAAAATAATTAAATTAAGTTATGTCAGATTTTGTAAATGTGTCGACATTTTACCGATTATAATTGGTTTTCCGTTTTTAAACCATTCGACTTGTAGATTTGAATCAGTAACTGGTTCTAATTTGCATTCAAAGTGAGCGTGTTGTCCTTCTTTCAAATTCTCCACGTTCTTTGGCTTAGTCAAAAAACGAGGTTTTATTTTCACGACTTCTTCAATCATTTCAGCTTTCTTGTACCTAGCCGAATCCTCTAGGTACTGTATTTTTTCTAAGCCATGTGGATGTTGAGAGTCCAATATTAAATCTTTTTTAGCTATCACTTTAACTGAACTGGAAGTAACGGCTTCGCCCATTTCGTTTCTAGCTTGACACGTGTACACACCGGAGTCTTCCGGATACACACTCAACAAGTCCAATGCTACATAATCGAAATCATAGGCTGGACGGAATCTATGGCCTGTTTTCACCGGATGTCCGTTTACAAGCCAATCTATTTTCATAGTCCAATCTCCGACTGGTTTCAACCTGCATTCCAGATGTACGTTTGTACCTTCCGACGTTTGAATATTGTGCAATGGTTTTGTGAACTGAGGTGCTTGCATGATACTTTCTTCGTCAATAGTCATTTTTTGATATCTCGAAGCGTCTTCTAACATTTGTATCTGCTCCAACGCGTATTCATTTTGACTTTCGGTTAGAATGCCCGATCGACATATTATCTAAAACGTCAAAAAATGTCAGAAAAAATTCCAAATAACAATAAAATCGTTAATAACTCTTACGTTGACACAGGCTGATGTATGAGCTGATCCTAAATGGTTCGTTGCTCTAACTGTGTATTCACCGGAATCAATGGACGTCACGTGTATGATATCCAAAGCGACGTATCCAAAGTCATAGTATGTACGGAACCTCGAACCTATTAAAATATAATATTATATAAAACATTCGAACGGTGAAGTACGTTCAAAGTATGAACAAAACCAATAAATAATATAAATGTTAATTACCAACGGTAACGGGTTTTCCATTTTGGAACCATTCGACTCTCATTGTAGGATCACCCATAGGCTCAAGACGACATTCCAAGTGTATATTCTTACCCTCGTTTACCGGTGCTGGGTCACTTAACGGTTGTGTAAATATGGGTTTTGACTTGGAAATCTCTTCGATATCATATTGGGGCTCAATGAATTTTTTAGATTCAAGATACGGGGCCTTTTCGACTACTCCGCGGTGCATGGTAGACGTATCGATACTTGCGCGAACTATAATACACAAAAAGCGATAATTATTTACCGAAATTAACTAAACAAAATATTGTTTCATTACCTTCAACTTGCATCGTAGCTGACAATTGTGCCTCTCCTAAGGCATTCCTTGCTACAACAACATAAGTTCCACTGTCTTCAGCCCTTACACCGATAATATCTAAAGCCACATAGCCGAAATCGTGGTAAGTTTGAATTCTGTTAGCGCTCATTAATACTCGTCCGTTGAAATACCATTCAATCTGTAATTATATAATATGAAATCACATGACTGTGGGTAACAGAATACGAAATGAAATCATGTAATCATGTGTAAAAAATCAAATGTAATCATTACCTTCATTGTCACATCATTCTGAGGTTCTACTCGTACTTCAAAATGAGCCCTTTGACCTTCGGCAATTTTATTTGTTCCTTTTAATGGTCCAAGGAATCTAGGTTTCTGCGTGACAACAGTTTCTTCTTCTGCCTTACGCTTATTTTTTCTATAATTTATATTTTATTTTAGCCATCAATAATACATCTATTATACGAATTATGACCTATCACAGACTTACCTCGAATCTTCCAAATATTGGAATTTTTCAAGACCACCTGGGTGTTGGCTATCTTGTACTACGTCTTTTCTAGTGAGAACAGTTAATGTGGCGGATGTCGAAGCATCTCCTAAATTGTTGAAAGCTCTGCAAGTGTACGTTCCGATATCAAAGGCAGTAACATACTTAATTGTCAACGCAACGTAACCAAAATTAAAGAAGACAGTCATTCTTGAACCTAAAATTAATTGTAATAAATATTTAAAATTAATATTATTCAGGTATATATTCAGAAACTAATACAAATTTTTAATATATTTTCTACGTACTAGCTTCAACTGGTTTACCGTCCTTTAACCATTCTACTTGAAGGGTTGAGTCGCCTAATGGTTCTAACCTTGCTTCAAAATGAGCAAATCCACCTTCTTTAATGTTATGTTGGTCCTTAATTGGCGTTTTGAATTGCGGTGGTGCGATACTTTCAGGGGCACTAATTTTGTATTCCTGGTTCTTATTTTGTTGATAAGACTGTTCTAACGCTTCCGTTTGTTCAATATACCTTTGCTGTTCTGGGTAGCCTAAATCACCTGTTATACTGTTAAAAGCTATAAAAAATATTTTCAAGAAATTATTAAAAATATCATTTAATTATTTATTTTTAATTGTAATTCATGCGTGAATGATTTGAAAACACCAACCGATAACATTTAATGTAGACGTGCTAATAATTTCTCCCCATCGATTGATTGCTCGTAAAGTATATTCACCGCTGTCCTCTGTACGAAGATGCATGATATTTAATGAAACATATCCAAAATTGAAAATTGTTGTAATCCTAGAACCTGAAATCGTTGTTATGGGATAGTTATTGTTTTAAACCTTATCAAATATGTGGTACGCGAATTATGACATACTTGCTGTAATTGGTTTTCCATCCTTGTACCATTCTACTTTCATCGTTGGATCACTGACAGGATTGAGCTGGGCTTCAAAATGGGCATTTCTACCTTCTTGTAAATCACCCATATCATGTAGAGTTCTGACAAAAGTGGGTGGTAATGGTTGAACTTCGTCATAACTGTCACTACGTTGATATTTAGAATAGTCTTCCAGTTTTTCAATATATTTCAAACTATCTGGATATTGACTTGATTTGTCAATTTCATCTTTACCTAAGATAATTAAATATCGCATTGAAAATCTAGCGTTTTTTATTAAACATGTTCTTCTACAATACCTTCGACAGTGAGGATTGCTGAAGATTGAGCAGTTCCCGAGCTGCTAGTAACTCGGCATGTGTATTCCCCAGCATCTGATGGCAGAATGCTCAACAAATCTAACGCTATAAATCCGTAGTTCAACAAAGTCATAGCTCTAGAACCTAAACATGATAAAAAATTAATTATAATTTAATTATTTATAATTTCTAAATAAATTTTAACTACCATATAGATATGCTTCAAAAATAAACTTACTTGCTTGTAACGGGTATCCATTTACAAACCATTCGGATATCATTGTTGGATCTCCAATAGGTTCGATTCTGGCCTCAAAGTGAATCCGGCCGTCTTCTTGTTGAGAAATGTTCTTCAGAGGAACAATGAATCGTGGCGGCGGATAAATTTTTTCTTCTTCCGATCGAGGAGTCTTATATTTCGCTCTTTCGACGTGCTTTAAGAATACTACTTCTGGCTCTGGCTCAGGCCTACATATTTTTAAAACATATATAACACGTTTTATCTGGGATCTAATCGAATAGATATGCAAAACAAAAATTCAAAAAATCTCACTCTGGTTCGATAACTCTGGTCGGTTTTGGCAGCCTGAGACGTCGGTCTTCGGCAAAGTCTTCTGGACGTGGTTTGCGTATAACATTCAGGCGAGCTCTGGTGGCTGTTGAGCCAGCCGTATTTTGAGCAGTACATTGGTACCAACCAGCATCCGTCGGCGAAACCCGCGCGATTTCTAATACCGAACCACCTCCTTCGGTCCACACGGATACCATTCCCGGTTGTTCGCTTACATTTACACCGTCCTTGAATGATGTACATTATTTTAATCGTGAGTAAAATTATAACATAGCACTACTTACTTTTTGCCATGTGATTCTCGGTATTGGAGTTCCTACGGCCCTAACGCTCAACGTAACGGTTTCTCCTTCGTTCACGTTTAAAGGCGTGAAGCGTTGTACGAATTTCGGAGAAACTACTAGTTCTTTTTCTATTACACCCAAATTGCACTATAAAATGAAACCGATTGCAGCGTATAAAATAATTATCATATAAAGAAATATTTACAAGAATAAGATAAAATCATAAAACATGAATAAATATTATACTATTTGACAATAATTGAAAATGTTTTGATACAAAATCAATAGATAATAAGTGATGCTTAACGATTAACAACTCGTATAAGAAATACATTAAATATTATAACTACGAATCGAAAACTGATAAGCAGTAGATGCATACAATTTTTTTATATATATGGACTAGAATTTATAAAAAAAAATTTGTTTTATTTTTTATTAACAAATAGTATATAAATAATATAGTGATCCAAATTACGAATAAAAATAAAACGGCAATAACTTAGTTATATTATTTAAATAACTGTTTACTTGGAAAGAAGTTTCTCCAGATTTACTTCTAGCGACACAGACCACCTGACCCGCGTCCGCTTGCGATACGTTAGTTATCATCAAACCGTGGTCACCGGATTCGTTGACCAATATCTTATGCGAGAAGTCGTCCTTGATTTGTTGACCATTGATGTACCAAGATACTTCTGGGTACGGTTTGCCGGTAACACGAACATCAAAACGAGTCATTTTCCCTTCGATCACGTCGCGGTCGCCACAAACACGCACAAAGTTTGGCGCTAACATTTTGCCTTCGACAACTTCTATCGATTCGAGTTTATTGTGAGTCTTAGTGATAACATTTTCTCTGAAAAATCATATATATTTAACGATTAGTTTCCGCACGTTGATCAAAGTAATAATTTTCAAAAATTATTTTTCTTTTTTCAAATAATAGCACTTTATAAAATGTAATCCAAACAAATCTATTTGCACTGTTGCATCTTATTACTAAAACTATATTATTTTTTATTCTTTGGTGTGACATTAAAATTAAATTGAAAACCACGAAGTAAACCTAGTGTTATTATTTGAATAAAAACCGTATTGTTTAATCATATTCTATTCGCTAATCGTTCGTTCTCCATAATGACATTCAATACGTATATTCTTTTAAATCCAAGAGTATACCGTTTTATAAAAATTACTCTGTAAATTGAAATTAAATTGAATTTAAACTCAAGTTGATAATTTTACGAATCTACTAAACAAGAATTATATTTAAGCGCAATTGTTCGTAGACATTTTTCAATTCTTGTAATATATGTAATCATTAATCCTATTACTAATGTTTAACTCGACCGATAACTCACTTATCTTCTGTCCTGTCGTACGCTATTGGTGATTGTTCGACGGCAAGGAATGCAGACGAAACAACACAACCTTGTGGATTTTCCACGAGCAGAGTGTAATGTCCGGAATCCTCGCAACGAACTTGCGGTATATGAAGTGTGGCGACCTGGTTTGTGAAATTAATCTGGTGCTTTGGTCCGTTTACAAGTCTTTGACCGTTCTTGAACCAAGTCAACTGAAAAGAAGAAAATAAATCGTTAAACATATCTCAATCAATCTCCGTTGTACTATATACTATATAAACTAGCTCATAGTAGTATTATTCTATATTTTACCCTGGTATCCTTAGCTGTTGACACTTTTACATTAAATGTCGCGTTCGATCCTTCCACTAACTTTGAGTTGCGTGGTTTCTGGAGCACTTGAGGTGCCACGACAGGACCTTGATGCGCGCTGCTAGTGAACTTGACATCCTCTTCACCTAAGTATCTTTTGGTGACGGACTGCCTGAAGGATACTTCGCGGAGTAAACGGTATTCAAAAGTATCGACTTTAAAGTCCTTAAGTAAAAAAAAAAAAAAATTAAAAATGAGAATAATCATTGATATAACGACGTCAACACAAATATTTATGAAGATTCACTACGTGGGAAAGGACGTTGCATTATTGTATCATCTTACCTCTTCGATGTTAGAATAATTATTTGTGTACAGAGTGTTCTGTGTTTGTTGTACTCGCTGCGAACCATACGTGCCTTGCGGTATTTGAACGGTATGACCTGTGAAAATCCAATAATTTATATGTATTCAGTTCTGCGTATTTTGATAGCAGCTTTATTTTACCTTCTGGTTGAATGAAAACCGAACAAATAGCTTCGCCGTACTGATTACGTGCCGAACAAGTATATTCGCCTTCGTCTCCTGGACCGATTTGATTGATCGTAAGAACAACATTCCCTGTTTGTTGATCGTACGTCATCTTGTATTTGTTCGACTCTAGAAGCACATAGTATACACGTATATAATATTTGCATGTTTATTATAAATATATTTTTCATTATTTGTTTAATCTTTTTCAATGCTCACCCAGTAATGGAGCACCTTTCCTGGTCCACGAAACGAAAGGTTTTGGAATACCTGTGACCTTTCCTTCAAAAACGGCATTTCCACCTTGGGCGAATCTGGCGTTTTTGAATATCTGTTCGAAAACTGGCGGAGCAGCGTCATTTCTGAAATAATATTAGTTTCGTTTATGTACCGATTTCGGATTTTATCAATTTCAATTCTATCTTACCCGAATCTCGGAATGGACTGTTGTACGACGAAGCCTTCGTGAACTGAAATTAAAAAATAAAAAATATATTATTAAATATGTCTACTTAATATATTAATAGGTATATAGATACGTTTTTAGTGGTAATAATTTATTCATATCAATAACTGCATACCAACTCTGAGAAATTATATTTCATCAGTTATTAATACGTTTATTACATGATTTCAAATGAATTATATACTTTGACATACAATAAAGACAATTTTTTCGAACGAAAAAATTCGTCCACACTATCCCAGTGTAAAGTATACTATTTATTTACATACAAATATGTATTTATTTGAAACATGTTCTATTTAAATATCATTGGATTGACCGAGCATATCAAAGCTTGTTAAATAGTTTAAATTAAAAATAATATTATTTATAATATGTATGTATTAAATATCTTGTTATTCCGAGCACCACAGTTCCGAGGCATATTATTGCTTAGTTAAAGGTCTTGGTCTTAAAGGCCGTTACCCCCCAAAAAAAAAAATGTATTAAATATATATATATATAGCTGATTTATAATTATAATGCAATTATTACGGTCAGTGTAATTTCATATTTTTTTTAAAATGTATTGCATGCTCTTCGAGTAAACAGTAATTGTAATAATATCGTTTCTTGGCATGGTCACGCAAAATACAGGATCAAATTACTTAAGACTCATTTTTGGAACAAGTCGCATATATGCATCACGGGCTGTGGGCGATCACAGCAGCTGTTGTACGCCAAGTGACATTACAACGAAATAAAGTAAACACCATGATTTAGATGATTTTAGACATTACAGAGTGATATTAAGCGTCATCGTCCAACCTAATATTACGTTCGTGTTTCGTGCATATATATATATACATGCGCGGATTTATTAATTACGCACAAATCTCGAGTAATGAACGCGTAATAAAAACGATTTAATGTTTCCGTAATATTACGTGTCGACAGTGAAAACAAAAAAATAAATAAATAAATAAATAAAAAATTTTCTGTACCGTTTCACCACGGCCCAGTGCGAGTTCGATCAGTAAATCCGGAAAAAAAAACGTCGACAATATTATGCACGCGTATGCGCGCGCGCACTCATATCAGCGCGTGCTGCGATTTATAGGGTGTATATTTATAACTTAACAGTGTCAGCGGCGCAACGAATATTCAACTCGCGCGGTTACACGAGCAATTCTGGTAAACTCAAATACGATGTGTTCAATGTAACCCACTTCTAACAAGAAAGACTAATAGGTCAATATTCGGCCCGAAATGGAAAAATCTGGTTCCGACTAAGGGACACGATTGCGGTGTCAAGGTTTCCATGTAATTGTTTATATATGTGTGTATGTGCGTACATACGCACATGCGTTTTGCCAAATCGGAAAGTATGACTAATAGCGTATAGTAGAAGTCTGTATAGAAATTAAGCGCGTTATAATTCCAATGAAATTAAATAGCAAAGGCCACGCGAATGCAACAAAACCGCAGTTTGTCGCAAAAGAGAATCGAGTTATTAAAACAACTTTGGAGCACACATTTTGTTTTTTTTAATAAAAATACTAAAAGTTAACGCATGAATAGACAAGTTAATCGATCTAACCGATATTTACACCGTATAACAAAGGTATTTTTTGAAGGGGCTCAAAATTGTTTTTTAAACTATTATTAACCTAACACCTCTCTTCACAGTTCACTATCCTACTTATTTCATTGAACAAACACACACCCACACACCTCATAACTGTGATTTCTTGAGACAACGTTATGATAATCCAGCATTAAGAATTGTTATAAATAAAAAACACAACAAGAGTTGCAACAAATAAATATTATATAGTGTAAGCGTTTCATCCTGCAATAAAATTGTACATCAAAAATGAATTTAAAAACCAACAAGGAGAAGAGTGAATACAATTTATGTATAAATCGAGGCGACGAGTAATCAAAATACTAAGGATACAGTCAGACTAGACACGACATCGGCCGTTCGACCGAATATAGCTGAATACTGACGAAAAAAATAAAAGTATGAAATTCAATTATACCGATGAAATAAATCCGATAAATTTGGTCGTTTACGGCAGTACACGGCCGATACCGGATGAAAACAAAATATTTTATTTTTTTCCGGCTGAATGGATCGAATAATTTAAATTTATAATAAACTATTTATCATACTATTTATACCAACACATCTAACAACAATTTAACTAGTTGAACCAAAAGTTTTGGGAAAAGAGTGTGGAATTCTTCAAATTTTTCCTTCTTTACAAAAATATCATAAACCCAAAATTTATTTTCTTTTTTTTTTTAAGTTAATAATAAATTTGTTGTTAATAATAAATAAATAGATTGGTTTCTAACAAGAATATTTCATCGGCGACATCAATACTGCTTGTTGAATTGCAAACAATAGAAATAAAACCGTGTATACTGTATCATTTTATGAATTCAACCGAAATCGGAATGTAGTCTATTTTCATCGGTCGAATTTTGTCTCCGATAACGGTCGGATAATTCAGCTGATGCTATCCAAATATATTCTACCGATACCGGGTATAGTCTGACCGTAGACTAATAAAAAAACGGTCATATAAAAAATATTGACTTATCCGTGTTGAACAAAATAAAGTGTAAGAAGAAAAAACAAAAGTTTTCCACCGTACTGACCTTAACTATAACTCAACTTATCGTCTAGGTCAATGAAAAATAGTGCATTACATAATAGATCTAGAAACAACGTTACGACTGATTTAATTTTCTGGAACTGATTATACGTGCATCCCTGACCAGGGGAATTTTAATATTATTAATATATATTATTTATTATTATAAAAACGTAGATCAGTTAGTTTGAATTTTATCTGCGTTCACGCTACAATTATTTTACGTGACTATTTAAATTGGTTAATTTTTGCTCGTTTAACTCAACGGTTTTTTGACTCGATGTTTTTTTTTTCTTGTACGGAACACACGTCGGATGAAATAATATCATATAAATGTACAATATATATTTAATTTTATCTTAATATTAACTCGATGAATTCTAATAATTACTTATCCAACTCCACCCAGTGCCACAAAAACCGGGTGTGCAGAGTGTGCCGCGCACACGGGCTCCAAGGTTTACATAAATTTGGGGTGCCCCTAGTTCTAGCCTGAAATAAACTACACTTTACAAACACACAATTATTTAATAATAAAAAGAATTTTTTTTTTTTAATTCAGATAAGGTTGTTATAATATTTTAGAATAATATAATATTTATTTAATAATGAGTCAATTGAGTATTTGAGTAGGCATACAACATACCTACCTAAGCTACTTAAATAAATGTACTACATAAATATGTAGTGAAGTATAATATACAACAGTTATAGGTATTTAGTTTGATATATATATCATATACTAACTGATGTGAAACGTGTTTTAAAACCTAAAAAAATTGATACTTAAATTGAACAAAAATAAATAAAGGGCCTCAATATAATTACCGCACAAGGACCTCCTATTTTGTAGTTGCAGCACTGACTCCACCACTAAATGTATAGATCGGTTAAATTTCTCATTAAAAGTGAAATTGTCTATTAAATCGTACTTAATTATAATAATCGTGCATCGCTGTTGTTAAGTACTTGGTGCAAGGAATGGAAGTAGTAATGCAATTCAAAAACTTACTGTGAACTATTTGTATCGGTAAACACCTTCTATTTTCGGTGTTCAACATATGTAATTATAGTAAATCTATAAATTGTGTCCCTAGATTTTGATCAAATACAAATGGTAGTTTTTCCAGACAACAATAATTATGTTATTTCATTATTTTTCTATGAGCATTTAGAACGGTGAGATTAACGAATATTCACAAACCGAGTTATTGAAAGGTAATCAAATGATTTTTTTTTTTTTTTTACGGATTTTGTGAATAACGCGTCGCAAACCCTCGGAAGTGCAAAAAAAAAATTAATATTTTTATTAATTTAATAGATCATTAATATTTTTTAGTACTCCACGGACGTTTAACGATATTGTTCATCGCGAAAACATTGGATTTTTGAACTATAGAAAGAAACATAAATGCAGAGCGTCACACGCAACTCCAATAGTAGGTTGCTAACCGACTGCAAGAGCAAACGGATATGGCGTTTAATGATATAGGTACGGAAACGTACTGGTCTACGCCGTCGACGAGCACAAATATATACGTACATTTTCATCAGCGACCCGACCCATTTACCGTCGTACAGATATGCCCGCGCGTGTTTTATCGCGACAACAACCGTGCGCGCGGTGATAGGTACACCGTTCCCTGAATAATCTATTAACCTATTCCAGCCGCACTGCGCCCATGTAATAGCGGAAAAACGGTTTGCGAGAACGCGTGCGCTGTATCGTTACACATTATTATTATTATTATTAGTAGTATTATCATCATAATCAGTGGCTCCAAAGTGTTTAAAAAATCCTATGGCTTCGTACATCGAAAGACCCAAATTGTTTTTTTCGACGCGAATCGAAGACCCCCTACGCGAAGGTTGGCCCTTCCGATACAAAATCTACCGCGATAGACCGTCGAAGATAAATCAGGCACCACTGATCATGATGATATTGTAGTAGGTAACGCTTACTGCGAATCGAAAAGTCCCGCGGTATTTTCGGTCTCCACGCCGGTCGCAGAATCATTTCATACATATATGTGTGTGTGTGTGTGTGTGTGTGTGTGTGTGTGTATAATTTTTTTCTTCCCTGCTCACTTTTGGCGCGCGTATTTTCTGCGTGTCGAGTAGTCCGTAGAGGGGTGGGGGATGGACGATAAATAAAAAAACACTGCGATATTCGTCACGGCTCGTTCATTATAATATCTACAACTGTACGCGAGACGATCACTGGTACGCCGACTGAACTGGTCTGCGGACGGACGACGGAGGCCCGTGGAACGGCCACAGTTAGATAGTTCGGATGCATCAATGTTATCGCGCGCACGGCCGAGTGCTGCACAGCCTTGGTACCGGATACGTATATGGC